AACAAATTTAAGAAATTCGGATTTGTTTTGTCCATCATCACGTGACCCGAAAAACTCGTGGTCGCCCTGGCGGATTCTTTGACCTTCTAAATGCAACTATATGACATATGCACTCGAATGCATTCAATCGATCGTAACTATTCCCCTTGCATGAGATCTACGCGTGGCAATCATAATGACAACCTACCGCTACGTGTGTTGTATCTAGAGTAACTATCTATCTGAAGTAGCATCTAATCGAAATTCTGATCAAGTACGTACTATATATTTTATATATCTGATATCTCTTCAGATAGGTAAGTAGTTACGATGCAATAAAAAGAATATATATATATATATATAATTTAACATTGGAAGAAGTTTACAGTTTAAAATTTCAAAACGAAATTATACATACTAAAGAATAGCCAGAAATTATACATACTAAAGAATAGCCAGACCTTCGTAAGCGCGTCGAATTGACTCTGTGTTCATCTTTAGTCGAAAGGTTTCTTATGATAACGGAACCTATATTCGATAATATCAATTTCGAATTGCAAAAACTTTAGATTTTTTTATAGAGCAACATAAGCTCTAGATTAATTTTTTAAAAAACAATTTGTATAGTTATTTAGTCAGCCCCACTATTAGAAAATGGGCAATATATCAATTTTAGGCAACAATTATAAGACAAAAAAAAAAAAAAAAAACGGAAAAAAAAAATATGGTTGTGATTCTTTGTCAAGAGTTTTAATAATTCCTGAAAATCCAAAATTTGGCTTTCACAAATTTAACAATGAACACCACCTTATACAAATTTTATAAATAATTGCATCATTAGCGTTAGGTTTTAACTAAATTTGGAGTACTTATATATGGTATACCCAGTTTTGCCAATAGAATATTTTGGTTCGTGAATAAAACAATAGTGCATTTTTGTTACATTTAAATAATTTATCATTATTAAATAAATATGTTATCAGATTAAAAGGCTAAATATAAATCTATAAATAATTTAATATAAAACATTTATAGTAAAACAGTAGAACAATAGAAATGTCAACATTGGGTATAGCATCATTCTGGTCATAATTGCCTAACACTCAAAATATAAATTACAATCCAATCTTATTTTTTAAAAATTTAGTAATAGCATCAACGCTTTGAATTTCAGTTTCAACGCTATCCAATGAATGCCCGGTCTCTTTATACATCTTACACTGTATCTCTACCTTACCTTGTCCTTTCAAATAGTACCACCACGTCAATCCATCAACGTATGGTACTCTAGTGTCATTTTCTCCAAGCATTAGTAAAATTGGTGTCTTCACTTGATCTATATTTGAAATTGGTGAATTTTCATACATCTTGGCATAATCGGATGGCTTGAGAATTGGTGGCTTGGATAAAGAGTATGGGAGGCCTAGTTCTGCAAAGCACCTGTTTATAATATTATGTAATATACAGTATAAACATATAATGGCAGAAATATAATCAAAAAATACCATTAAAAATCATTCCTTACCAATCTGGAATGTCAGTTGATGAAGTCATTCCTTATTTTTAAATGAAATCGTCAATAAAAAATCTTGGATAATTAAAAAGAAAAAAAAAAAGTATTTTATTTACCTCCAATATTTAATACTGGATTTCTCATAACACAGGCCTTGTAAAAATCCTAGATGAAAGTATGAAATAGGTTAATAAACATAATTTAAGAAAAAATTTTACTCGAAATTTACTTGACTTACCGGATATTTTCCAATCAAGTGCCCAGAGATAAATCCACCGTGACTACCACCAAATATTGTTATCGCATCAGGATCAACTTCGTGTTGATCAATAAAATACTGTGCTGTAGCCTAATTAAAATTATATTCTGTGCATAATTATATCTTGGATATTTGTTAAAAATTTAATATATTGCTATACCTGAACTTCCTCAACTTCTAAATTACCAATATTTCCAATAAGTGCATCAACGGAATCTTGACCGAAGCCAACACTTCCCGTATAGTTAACTATTTTTTTTAAAAAAAAATTTAGAATTTTTGGTATAGTCTTTTGTAACGCGATCAATTTATTTCTATAAATTTCTAACTCAATGACTGAAAGCATACCTTCCACAATAAAATAACCCAAGGAAACTAGGGTCGATATGGTCAAGCTAATACTTGTAACACAAACACTATGCGGTCCACCATGTGGAATAACGATGAGAGGTGGTTTTTTGTCTAAAGGAACTTCTTTGGGTTTGTGGACTATTAATTCCAAATAAGGATTCTTTTCGAAAGGTTGCAATATGGACCATGTGGATTTGGCAAGAGTAGGTGCCACTATGTATTAGAAATTTCATTTGTAAAATTTATTAGCATAAATGCTAATATGTATAATTATTAGGGTGAATATAAATATAAAATACCTTTTTCTACATCAGGCTGATCAATCACTGTCCAATCAACAATCAAGTTGTCTTCATGACAACCAGTTATCACTCCAAGTTGCTAAAATGATAATATAATGGTATAAACCGTAAGATAGAAATAACAATAAAATAAATAATAAGTTATATATATTCCGACCCGCCCTAACCTAAAATTCTGCCAGGGATCAATTTGACCCGGGTCAAGTTTAACTTGGCCTAAAAACCAATTTGACCCGTAACATATATATCAAACTTACCAACTTATGAAATTCGGTAGTTGAACCTTGCGATGCTAATATATACTTGTCCCATGCTGAAAATAAATTCCAACTTCCGATCGTAGTCAATTTTTGAACCTTACCAGTGGACAGGTTTATTGCCAATAAAACTTGTTGACTACGCCAATGACTGTGCATCAAAATGAACTCAACACCATCAATTGTAATAAATGCTTTTAAAGGAATACATTTACTATATATCCCAGGAAAGTTATTATGAAAAGATGGTGAAGGAGAATGTACAATAGGTACGATGAGGCGATTTTGCCTTGATGAAAAGTTGTACTGCAAAAAGAAAATATTAATACAGATAAATAAAATCTATTAATTTAATTAAAAGCAAATCTTAACCTCATAAAGTTCCGAACATCGGCTATGTGGACCGCCGGATGGATTAGATAAATAAATCTTCATCGATATAAACATGATTGAGTAATTTAGAGTAATTTACCAAAAAAAAAAAAAAAACATTGCTTACTAAACGATTTCCTGACAAATTAAGTCGTGGTGACCGTGCATGCTCAACATTGTCGCTTAGATGCTCTGTGAATGAACTTTATTAACATTTTATTTAACGGTGTATAAATTAACCTAATTACATAGATTCTCACCAAGATTAGACCCATCCAATTGACACTGGTATATTCCAGCTCTGCAATTGAGATCGTCAAGTCATTTAATTTTATGTTGATTTAAATTTCTTCATGAAAAACGGTTAAACTCACAATCGATTAGTACACGCTGCAATACCAAAACGTCGTGGTTCATTACTATATCCAGTAAAAATAAGGGATTTATCTTCAGGACCAAACTGAACCTTTATATAAAATTTATTAATGTTGAAATTAGATCAGCCTTTTAAATAAGACCAAATATAATTGTAATGCAAACCTGTCCAGGATCAATTTTTTCAAACGTTGGTAAAACTTTTGCTTCATTTGTTGAAATATCAAAAACAACAATTAAAGGAGCACGCTTATTATAGAATTTTTCGCCCCAAGACGGCACGTAATCGAATTTCTAGTAATAAAATTATACCACATTTAAAGTCAATAATAATATACAGATTTTTTTTTTTTTTTAAAAAAAAAAAAACATCATGAAAAGTGATTCTTAAACTCACTCGATCATCAGAATCTTCTAATTCCTTTCGTTCTGCAACATAAACAGCTTTTTGCTCATCATTTGACCAATAGAGACCACCAAATTCGTCTTAAATAATGATATGTTAGATAATTTTGTTGCAAAACACAGTTATTATTGCACAAATAATTACCATCAGTATAGAACTCTCTATGAACATCGGTAACATCTAAAACATTTATTAATGATCCTAGTTTCCAAGTCTGCAAATTCAACAATTCATATATATGATCATATATTTTTAAATTTATTAAAAACAGAGTATTAAAAAACATTACTTCAACAAATCTCTTTTTTCCTTTTTCATTTGATACAGCTCTTAAGACCAAAAGTTGATCTCCGGACGGGGAAATAGCTTGTAGAGCAACATCTCCCAAATCAATTGGTAAAAATGAGGAGAATGCACCCGTAGATTTACCACTATCATCTTTCTGCAGAGATACAATCAATTGTTTTGCAATTACTCGCTTAAGTTTGCGGATCAAGTCACGTTGACTAAGAGTGAGGTGAATTACTTCAAAAATTATGAAGCATCGCTTTAATATTTAATATTTAATATATTCTATCTAAAAAAAATGCAGCAAAATAAAAATATAATTTACAAAGCAAAGAGGAGCTCGAAGTAGGCAAGAAACTTGCAGAGAGATACGTAGGTATTTTTGCCAAAGCCTTAAATGTTTTAAGCGCATCTGTATCTTCTTTTTCAGTATTTACGTCACTCGTTACCTCTTTGGGCTTCTCGATATGAGCCATCTTTATTACATGCAATAAAGTTTTTTTTTTTTTCTAATTGCCGATCAGCGTAAATTGGCAGATCATTGTACACTCCCCTGACATTGATCACCGGAATTTTGATTTTCACGTTACCTAATGATGA